TATATATATATATATATATATATATATTGTTTACATGTTTTTAACAATTATTAAACTAGGTTTATTGAAGAGAAGGTGCTTTACTGTATGTTTCTTTTACATGTTGTAGAGGTTGCCCCTGTAAGTTTGAGAAGCTGTGAACTCTGTGGAGAAAATCTTATTACTGGATGGATTGGGAGATACAGTGCATTGGCATTGAATTATTATGTTGCCCTCTTAATTTATTATTGTAATGCAATGAGGATGCATAAACTGAGATAAATATGCCTTTTTTATATACACTAAGTGCTGCAGCAAGGATTTAAAAAGCCTTTTCTGGCAGCACTAAGAGTCAGACAACTGCTCTCTCACACAAACAGCAGCCCAGCTCTCCAGTGTGCCCCCCTGAATACTGCTCTAATCAAGACTACTGCTCAGAGAGTGAAAGTAAAGTTGATTAGAGCAGTGTTCACTGGGAGGTGTCATACCACAGAAGAGCTTATGTATGAGAGCCGAGGCCTGACTCTCCTATGTGCTTGCAGTGAAGAGTTGTTAACCTATAACACAAAGTAAAAAGAGGCATATTCTGCATATGCAGCCTGGCTGTATTACAGATAGTAGAAGTTGATATAAATCAATATTTATAGTGTTTATACTGCTACATTTGTCCTATTCATTTTACAGATGGAGCTCAATGTATTTTTAAACAGCGTATACAAAAATTCATACGTGCTTGGAATCATCTGCGGCTTTTCCTGCAGACGAACGGTGAGTAACAACTTTATCTGCTTTGGCCAATTCTTTGAAATACAGCTTCTGAAGTCATATGATCATAAGAATGCTGCTTATTAAGAACAATTGGAAGGTACTTGGAAGTAGTTTTAGATGCTAGCTAGAGTATTGTGAATGAAAATGATCACATGATGATGACGGCTTTGCAAATTTTGTGTAGTTTCTATGTATGCTGTTTTGTATTTGTGGGTCAGCCATGTTGGGATAGGTTAGCCCCCCTTAGTGAAAGTGAGCTAGGAAATGTGGAGTAGTCAAGGTTTTCCTAAGGTTACTGCTAGGGTTAACCAGAGCTGAGTGTCAAAACGGGGGTGGAGCGAAGATGTAGATGACAACACAGCAAGTCCAGGAGTCAAACAAGCCAGGAGACAGAACCAAAAATAAAGTAACTTGGCAATTACAGGGTACCGAGGTACAGTCTGAGGATAGAGCCAACAGGAGCAACAACAACAGAAGACAGGAGGGACATCTGCAGGAAAATAGAATCCTCAACAGAGTAAACCGATGTGACCACCCAAATGCTTAATGGTCAACCACACTAGTTTTAGTGGTTGATTTAATTAGGTTAGATCTACCAAAGTGTGACTGGATTGGGAGGCTGCTTGCAAGACCTAACATTGATTTAATTCATTAAACAGGCCCCTGCAACAATCTTATACTACCTGATACCTGTAATGCAGTGGTGGAACTAACACCATAGTGACCGAAGCGGTCGCTATGGAGCCCGCGGCACTGGGAGGGGGCCCGGATCCCCGCTGCTCTCCCCCGCTTGTATGGGCTGAGGCAACGGGGATCCGGAAAAAAAAATGGACGGTGGAGGAGCCGCTGTCACCCGGAACTGACAGGTGGATAGATTACGATGATCGAGCGGGGGGCGGGGAGGAGAGCGGAGCCGCTGTCCTCCTGTCAGTTTCCTGATGACAGTGGCTGTGTGCGTGGCCGACAGGGGATCGGTAAGAGGGGGGGGGGCCTTACAAAATGTTGCTATGGTGCCCTGGGATTTCTAGTTACACCCCTGCTGTAATGTTATCTGTATTGTTAGCTCATAAACGGAAAAAGACTTGACAAGTGCACATTAACCAGTGAGCAGTACAAGACATGAACTGTCCCTGTGCCTATTAAGCCTTTAACTTCAGTTATTTTATGTTTCTGGAAATGTTGTAGGTGAAATAAAGCTCCCAGAAGGCATGTGTGATGAGATCCTTACCATGGACAGCGAATTTGAGTTTCTTCTTCCTCGTCGCCAGGGACTGGGCCTGGGTGCTACAGCACTCACTAGCTACCTCATAGCACTGCACAACAGTTTTATATATGCACTGGCAAAATACACCAACATTGAACAAAAGTATGTTCTTATTTTTTCTGCATCAGTTTTAAAAAATACATATTATATATAACTGGAATTAATTCAGTGTGCACCTGTATACATAACAATATCCAGGGAAGAATGCATTTCAGGGAATTTTTAGACTGAATTAACACAAGTAAGATTGTGCTCATCTCTGCTCCCTCCATTGTCACACCCATTTAGCAGTCTGTTGCCCCTGGCCTCCATGTAATTCCTCACTAAGCACAGTATAAGCATATTGGTTAGTGAGAACTTTGAGTTTGGAGAGGCCAAGCACTTTGCGTATAGAAATCATGGAAAAGTACATACACTCCTAAACAAAGACCAGCTCCTAGTCCGTTCTGTATATGAAGGCAATCTTTGCCGGCTGGCTGGGGACACTTATACAAAATGTTCTGTCACTGTAAACCTGACAGGAGGTGTTGGGTAGTTTCACATGATGCTAGAGGCAAGTTCTTTATATGTTGTTGATATGGTTAGTTTTGCTCTAAATTGTACTTATTTTAACATCAAATAAAAAACAGAAGCTTTAGATAAGATCAATGAAGTCAGTTGTAAGATTTTTGATAAAATATTAACTTACATTGCTAATTAAAACCAATCATTACAATGGAGATTTTTAGTTGACAGACATAGTTAATTAAAACATTTTTTTTACAATACATACCTACATAAATATATGCTGCTTTCTAGTGTTTGCTGTCAAATATTTATTATAGTTGTAATTTATACTTTATTTTACTTTCTTTAGTTACTCTATTAAAGCTTCTGAAGTAATGGATCTACATGTGATCAGTTATGAGCTGGAAAAGGATCTAGTGCCTATAATCTTATCCAACTGCCAGTATAGTTTAGAGAGCGGTAAAGAGACTTTACAGGAATTTGACTTTCCAAAGATCCAGAATCAACTCACCACCCGCCTTCTCCAAGGGAAGCCTCTCATCACCATGGTTGTAAGTACCATATTATTAGAAATGTGTGCTGTGGCTGAATCAAGTTTGTTTTAATTAAAGGTTATCTTGCCATTAAGCAGAATGCAAATACAATTGCACATCCTGCACTCTGTATGCAGAATATCATTTACAAAAAAATGTTTTATTTATTGTAAAATGAGCAGTACATTGTACTTTGATCTGTGAGCAAATAGCTGTATTACTTTCTGTATAACTAAACAGATATTTGTACATTTTAGGGATTGCCAACTCTCACCCTTTCCCATGACAGAAACTATGAGCACCTGTTTACAGATCTAAAGAAAAGACTCCCTCAGGTACGAGATTTCAAATACGTGTTTTATGCTATGCATTAAAGAGGAATCACAGTTTTTTCTAATGTATTCTTCCTTGAAACCCCTGTCTGTGTAAAAGAGTATCAGGTTTATAGACCCCTGATGTTTTTCCTACCCTTTTCTACCCTATTGCAGATGATTAACCACAGGAATGTGCTTGGTCACCTGTGTAACCGGCACTTCAGCAAAGCTTGTGACAGCTCTGAAGCAAGAAGCACTGAGAACACAGTACTTCCTGCTTCAATATCACAGAGCAGATCCGGAACAGACATTCCTCGGTCTGCTCCTGCTCCCCTCCTGACCCTGATTGCCATGGTCCCAAGCCCCCCATAGTGGTGAGGCGGGATGCACCACATATGCATATGTAGCTGCTACAAGTGATCTGGTTGGCAATACACCCAGATCACTTGAACTGAACAAGCATCGCCTGCTAAAAAAAACGATATCATAATCAATGAGTGTTACAGGCAATAACATGTCTGCCTGCCTTGTTTTACCAAAGGAGTGCTGGCATCCACCATGCATGGCTGATGTGTGGCAATAGTCTGTCCCTGTATAGCCACCTTTTTCCACCATACTGTGCAATATAGCACATTATATTGTATGTTTTATGAACATTTGCATCAGCAGACCAGTATCACGCAGAGTGGATGGGAAGTTCTCAGTTTCCTCAATACCTTTTGGCATGGTAGTGATGATGATAATAATAATAATTAGTAATAAATAAGTAGATGTCCCTGTCAAGGATACGAGGGATTGTCCAATAGTTGAATATTTTTTTCCAATGCTCTCTGGTACAATGTTACTTTGTCAAAATCAATTAAAACATTAATGGATATGATTTTACTTTCTTTTTTTTTTTAGGACTCTTTATCAAACTCAGCAATAGATGTTATAAGCAAAGACCTGAATGCATTCAGTGATGTCTGTGAAGCCTTAAACATTGTGGACATCTCAGTGGGATTTCTGGCAACGTCAGGAGGAGATGCAGAACTTTCCTTAACAGGATATGTAGAAGATGTCCTACAGATGAAAGAACAGAGCAGCACACATGTTCTTGAGGTAGATTTTGTGAAGTCACACTTCTCCTTTTTATGCCACTGACCAAAACAATTGTCAGGATTTTATTGTTGTCTTGGTACCCGTTGGAAAGATTTCCCCCTCACTGGTGAGAGGCGATCATTCAGACAAGAAGTGAGGGGTAGTCTACTTAGTTGCACAACTGACTGTGATAGAATGTTGAAGGTCAAATGTGTTTCTGTATGGTGCAATCGCCATACAGGATTAACTGGGATTATGGAATCATAAATCTCTGCAACTGCTTTCCCAATTATGTATTATCCAATTTCCATTAGAAGTTCCCATAAAAATAAATAAAAGTGCTCCAATGGTGCATATCGTCTGTTACATAAAATTAAAAAAAACCTAAAAATTACTATTGCAAACATAAAAGCAAAACTCCACTGTTCCACCTACATGACACTGGTGTCTACATTCTAGTCACATGTTGACATCAGTGTCCGAAGCGCTGTCCTAGGCATTTCGTTCTAAACAGATGTCCGCGGGGCAATGGGCATTTACTTACACTGACATCATTGAGATGCAAAAGAGGAAACATCATTTACAAAGATACAACTAATGAACATGTATTTATTTCAAAAATGGAAACCAGGTGGATATGTGAATTGTGTAATTATGCCCCAAATATATTGTTATATTAACAGATATTTATTCCTTTTATTGTTACCTTCTAATGGGGAATTTAGTCTCCTCTTTTTGGATTGATGTGGAATGATGATCAGTATTTATATATTCTATTTATAGGGGTTTATTACAGATTTATGTAATAATGTAAATATAGAATATTGGAGAATATTGATGCTTTTATTGTTAATAATGTTCTGTAGGATATCTATGTTGATGTTTGTAAGAAAATACCTGAAGAGTGTGGTGGTGATCTCCTTTTGGGAGGTATTTGATTCATACATCCTTCCTGTTATTGCCCCCATCCCCTCTTTTGCATTTTAATGATGTCAATTTAAGCGAGTGTCTAATCCCATATGGATGTCCTTAGGGGCAACAAACTCATAGGGTGGAACTTTGGACACTGACATCATCATGCTACTAGCCATTATCTGAGCAGCGGTGTTGTTTGTACAGCAACAGTGCAGTTTTCCTTCTATCTTTGCAATAGTAGATTTTATGGTTTTTTTATATGAAATAAGTTTTATTATAACATGTTTTTATTATGAATTAAGAACAAAAGAATACAAATGACACAGCAGCCTTGTGTCACAAACATATTCACATAAAGATACGGATCTAAGTTATTGCTGTTCTAGGACGGGGAATGCGGGATGAAGGGAGCAAAGAAACAGCATGTTAAGCCCCGTTATTCCAGGGATATGAGCATATGTAGGGTTAACTTCCAACTCTTTGGGGGACAGCATCCCCCAGCAGAAACCTAACCCCAAAAAAGGATGGGTGATGCAGTTCCCCAACAGCTATGCATATGAAGCAAGAGAGGAAGCAACCAGTCCCTCTCCTGGTGCTGGTCTGGGATGTGAAGGCATGGATGATAGGAGCAGGCTGGGACCTGTGGGTTATCTAAGGAGATTAGAAGGGGAGATAGAAAAATTGGTTAGGCTTAAGAATGAATGGGAAAGATAGATAGTAAGGTGTAAGGGAAGGGTAATCTGGGAAGAAGTGGGTGGGGGTGGAGGAGTGGGCCAGGGAGCATGCAGGAAAACATGTGGGTTGCTACTTATTGTGATCCTGGAGAGCCCTATCACATGGCTCCACTTCAGTCAGCCTCAAACCCAGCATCCTTATTCTGAGTACTCCCACCCCAGGATGGCATTTTTCCATTGTGTTAAGTATCAAGCGGTGGGACAGTCGAAGTGTGGAACCCAACTGTCACCTAAAGCTTGGACACTTTACTTCAATTTAATTCACGCATTTGATCTCTAAAACATTGGGGCCTTACTTTCTGGTAAGTTGCTACTTTTGTACTGTGGGGGAGGTCATGCTTCAGTAACTGAAATTATAAACGTGAAGCCTCACTTGAAGTGCTGAAAACTTATTCTATGGACTTTATTCTTGTATTGTTGTATAATTTATTTATTTAGTCGTGGATTTATTTTGATTTTAGTGATACAAATTAGACAGAGGTTCTATTTGTTGTTCCATATACTCAAAACAAAAAAATAAAGGGTTTTTCTATCACTAAGATACACTTATCGGTTAGACAATTGAACCCAGCACTAAAATATTACTTTTAGAAGGGCCAAACCTTGAAGAATGAAATGATTTGTAAATCAGACCTGCAATCAGACCTGCATCTCCAATAAATACATGTAATGTAATAAATATGTAATTTGTTTTACTTTTTGTAGGCGCTGAAACGCTGTTACTTGAAAAACACAATCGCTCTTTGGCAGCTTCTCACTGCACTGAAGTCACAACATCTTTTACATCTAAAGAGGGTGAGATTTTCACATTTAAATGGGTTTAAAGAAATATCCCAAACCTTTTTTCCAATGAAATTGGATCAAGAAAACCTCTGCTCATAATAGTGTAAAAATCCTGACTCCCTATAGAGAAGTTTGTCTCCAAGCCTGTGATTTAACATGATTGGTGGATGGAAAATGTGATCATCTTTAATTTAAAATTGCTAAAGGTATCTGTAGAAATTAGAATTATCATCATCATATACTGACGACATCCACGGAATCAGACAGAAGGTCAGGGTGGCTGGGGGTTCCCATAAATACATCTTATTTCCTGGGAGCTTGTGATGGGAAGAAACAAAAGCTATTGGTGGACATTTGAAGTCACACATCATGATGCAGGTCACAAATATTCATTCTTTTAGGGAAATTAACATTTCTGTATAAAGAGATCTTTGATAAGAAATCAAATGTATTTCTAACCAAGTGTATGGTTTCAGGATCCATTTGCCAGTGTGGACACAGTTTACAAACATGAACTAGACAAGGAGAGGCAGCACGCACTCAATGTGTTCTTGGAGCAGAATGGCACAAACCGCTTCCTTCTGGAGCTGCATGAGATGATCATGCTGAAATTAGGAAAGCCACGAAGTGCAGATGATTTCCCACCTTCATGGATGTAAGTGATACTTGGTCCTTGCCGGGATGTGTTTTTTCTCCTACAGCTGAACTATGGGCGCAAACATTTTAATCTAAATGTAATCCGCAACAAACACAAAGGATATAAATCGACTTTATGTGCACCAAATGTCTTTTTAAACCCTGTTATTACCTAGTAACAATAGTGGTGATGTCATCACTGTGCTGCACATAGCCTGTGCAGAGAGCACAGCTGTGGATGGGGCCCACTAGGTCCTCCCACTATAGGCTACCTCCAGAAAACTACAATAGGGGGGGAGGATACAAGACCAGTAACTCTCTACATGAAAAGGACCGCACTGACTGGTCTGTATTACACATTGCAAGATTGTGAATTGAAGCACCACACTCCGTTTATTAGTCCAGATCCATCTTTTTTCAAAGTAGCATTGAGGGGACAGTATAGAAATATCCAACGCATTTTGGGAGCTCATGCAAATACCCCCTTCATCAGGGCTGGGAGAGAACAAAAGCGAATATCTGCATCAATAAACTATGACAGTACTGCTTTGGTATCATGAACATTTCATGGGATATTATAACAGTGATGCAACTGATGTATCAAATTATGAGAATTGCACTAAAAGTGCATCTTTTCTTTTTTTTCAAATTCTTTATTTTATAAAACAGGGTAATCTCTACAAGAATATTGCACATCTGTAGAAATGTCAATCAAGGCGGAAAATGCCATTACTAATAAGAGGCAAGAATTCTATTGCATAGATCCTGTAACTTTTCAAGTGACAATAATACATATAACAGTATACATATAATGGAACTCGGAAGAACATTAGGGGTATGACCATATGTGTGTGATCCTTCTGCCTCTTCCCAACAGCCCTAGAATTTTGTGTATCACAACGGAAATAGGAGTCACACTGTGACTATTCATTCTGTCCGAGGCAGTACCGCTACATGGGTGTATCGGCCTATTGTCTCGTGAATGTTTAAGGATAGGGTGTTTCACAGAATGACATTTGACTGTAAATGGTTGCATTAAACAGGCAGCAGGTTCATATCCTCCCATATTTAGGCATCTGTCAACACAGAATCATGGAACACCTATGTTAACTACACCATTGAGGCATTGTGATCACAAGAGACACACATAGATCAGGATATGGAAAGTTAGGTATATGCAGCTAAAGATACAGAAATGGGGTAAAAGAAAGAAGGAAAGGTCGCTCCCAGTGGGCCACCTGTCTAGGTTCACTCATGACATCTGAGGGTCTGTGGATGGGTCCGTGGTGATATGAATCTGGTATTCCGGAGAAAGTAGGAACTCCGTCCAATGAAACCATATTTTGTTAAAGGTGGTTTGCATTTCCGGGGACGACGCCGTCAAGTCCTCCATTCTCCAGATCTCACTAACCTTGCTTAACCACATTCCCACCGTATGGGGTCGGGGGTCTCACCAGAGTATTGTAATGCATGCTTTCGCTGCATTGAGCATATGAGGTAATACCGATCTCAGGCACCCTTTTTTCGGGATCGTATTGTGGTGCAGAAGGAAGAAGGCTGGGGTGTGTGGAATGTCACGGTCAGTAAATGTGGGTAAAAGTAACTTGATCGCTCTCCAGTAGTCCTGGAGAGCCGGACAAGTTCAGAAAATATGTAGCATGGTGCCCCTGGCTTGGCCGCAATGCCAACAAGCCGAGGTTACCCCCGGAAAGATCTTGTGAAGGGCAGCAGGGGTTCTATACCACTGCATGAGAATCTTATAGTTGCATTCCTGGATCCTGGTGCATCTAGAGGTTTTGTGGGCAAAGTATAAACATTTTTCTCGTTGGTTCGGGGGGGGAACTGGAGCCCCAGTTCATTTTCCCACTTAGTAGAGACTTCATGACATAGTGGTGGGCCCGGTTTGCACTCTCGTTTGAAGTCTGTCAGGGGTCGTACAAATGCCTTGGCGAGTGGCAAGGATCTGAGGAAGTGGGATAGCTTTATCTTTTTCCAGAATTTCAGTGGGAGCCACTGAGGTTCCCTGTGACATGTTTACCAGGGTCACCCACCTATCGGTCCGAACAAAGTGCTGAGCCCTATGGATACCTGCCTCAGTTAACGGACTGAATCCCGGATCCTCCAATCCAGGGGTGAAGCTAGGATTTCCCAAGATTGGAAAGAAGGGAGAAGGGGCTGGTGAGATATTCTCTATTGGGAAAAATTTACGACATACTGCCCAGGTTCGAGTCCTATCCACTGTTTAAGTGTATTGTGGCGGCACCAGTCAATTACTCTCGCAAGGTGGCATGCTGCATGGTATCTAATCATATTGGGCAAGCCAGTGCCTCCTTGGAGTTTATGCATACGCATAATCGATGATTTAATCATAGGCGGTTTGTGGGCCCATAGGAAGTGAACAAAAGCACTGTTAACGGCTTTAAGAAATGCCTGTGGGACATGGACCAGTAGAGTTTGCATTAGATAGAGAATGCGCAGCATAACATTCATTTTCAGGATATTGCATCTACCAAACTAGGAAAATTTACACGTGTGCCACCTTGATAGGTCCAATCGGATTTCTTTGAGTAGTGGAGGGAAGTTAATGTGGAAGGTGCGGTAAAGGTCCGCAGGTATAATGGTGCCTGGATATCCTAGTGATTCCATGTCCCAACGAAATGGGAACGCTGACCGCAGGCCCGTGAGTAGGAAGCCTGGGACAGATATAGTAAGGGCCGTGGATTTTTGAAAATTGATGAGGAAATGTGAAACTGCTCCATACAGTTCAAATGCCCGCATCAGGTTCGGTAGGGAGACAGTCGGGTCAGTAAGGAGAAAAAGTAAGTCGTCAGATAAGGCCGCAACTTTGTGTCTACCCCCCGCTTCCTAGGTCAACTCCTGCAATATTACTATTAACCCTGACTCTGCAGAGGAAGGGTTCCAAGGTAAGGATGAAAATCACGGGCGACAGTGGACAGCCTTGTCACGTGCCGTTCAAAGGCGTCCGGCAACAGTCCATTAACCCGGACCTGTGCCGTCGGTCTGATGTCACATCAACGTGGTCGAACGCCTTCTCCACGTCTGTAGACAGAAGCATAAGAGGCCTCGACCGGGAGGATGACGCATGTATGACATCTAGTACTTGTGTAACATTGTCTCTAGCTTCTCTAGAGGGCATAAATCCCACCTGATCTAGGTGGATGATTTCTTGTAGATGAGGGATCATGCGGGAAGTCAACATTTTTGTAAAAAGTTTTAGATCCAAATTGAGCAATGAGATAGGCCTGTATTTGGAGCAGAGTAAGGGGATCTTTTCTGGGTTTCGGGATAAGAGTCACATGGGCTCGCAGGGAGTCCACAGGAAACGGCACACCGTTACCTACGGCATTGTAGCCCTTTAAAAAATGGGGTGAGAGGATCTCTTGAAACTCCTTATAGTAGGATAGGGGGAGACCGTCCGGCCCTGGTGCCCTACCGGTTCTTGCCCCTTTTAAAGCGCCATTTAGCTCCACATCAGTAAGGGTTGTCTCCATGGAACGTGCTACATCTTCAGTTATAGCTGGCATCTCGACTCGGTTAAGTAGTCCGAGATCTCAGCTCTACGGGTTGAGTTGGTTCGTGGTGGGGTCTGGCCCTGAAGGTTGTAGAGGGATGTGTAGTATTCCTTGAAGACCCCTGCTATATCTGTAGTCTTACTAATTTCCATGCCCGTAGGGGACAGTATCTCAGAAATCAAGGACTCCGCTCTCTGTATCCACAAGAAGTGCATCTTTTCTAATACTGAAATGATTGTTTTCAACAATTGTGGAAGGTAAACATCATAATTAAAGGTCAATTCTTAGTTTCGTAATCTATAATAAAAATAAACAATAGTTACTTCTCACCAAAATCACCTACTTAAGCCGCAAGCACTATTCCTTTACACAAACATGACTAATAATAAATGAATAAAATGTGATGTGCTAATAACTAATACATTATTACATGTAGCGCTAAAAAAAATATTTCTATCCGTTGTGCAGACAAACACACATATAAAGTGCAAACAGTCAAACAAACAGGGTTATTCACAAAAGGGTGAAGAGTTTGGAGAAGGCAGGAGAAGTGATCAATCTAGGACAACATAGCTGAACTGCAAAGTGAGCTGAAGTGGAGAATTTTTCCAAATCAGCTATTTTGGCCTAGATTGTTCACTTCTCCTGCCTTCTCCAAACTCTTCACCCTTTTGTGAAAACCCTGAAAGTGTGACAACACGTGTCAATTACATATAGAGTGCAAACAAATTCAGATAAACATTGTGACACAATTATTTAAATTTGTTTGCACTCTATGTTATTGACACTGGTTGTCACACTTTCTATGTTACTCTGTTTGTACTTTATATGTGTGTTTGTCTACACATTGGATACAAATATCTTTTTTGGATACATTCTGATGTTTAGAGCTAAATGTAGTTATATATTATTAGCGTGGCACATTTTATTATATATTTATAATTTTAAAAAAAGACTATAGGTATATCTATATATCTGTATATAGATAGATAGATATGATAATCGGTAATAAATAATAAAAATCAATCCCAGTTAAAAATTCTATCAAACATAATAAAATTTTCACATAAGGAAAATAAAAAAAACCTAGCAAATATTAGGTAATGAGTTAGTAGGGGCAAGAGCAGGACATTAAAAGAAAACAAAACAGAGGACTGTATCTAATAGGGAAGTAGCATTTTTAATGGTTTCCTTACTTAAAGGAGAACATGTTATCAAGTCTGTGTTGGCTTGAAATTGGATACCATCTGTAACAGGAGAATGGGAGTGAGAGGTTCACACTAGGCAAGAACAAAACGAACCAAAGAAATCTGGGCTTACATTGTCATGTGTGTGAGAATGCATATAACTCATCAGCAGCTGGTTTGGCAGCAATGAGTGATGCTGATGAGCTGTGATAGTCCCACAGAATTTCAATCTCCCGCTATTAGATAGCGGCTCCCTGACGTCCCCAAGAGAGGCATTTCTCCCTGAAAGGTTTACTCAGAGTAAACCTTTCTGGTAAGATATCACTGGGTAAGGTTTCAGAGTGAGGCTTGCCTCCTGGAGGAAGGTCATGTGATCTCTAGAGTAGCCTCAGAGTAAGGCTTGCCTCCTGGAGGAAGGTCATGTGATCTCTAGAGTAGCCTCAGAACGAGACTTGGCTCTCTGAAGGAAGAAGCTACTTTCTGCACAGAGAGGGCGGACATAGACTACTATTGAGAGCAGGTACAGGCGCTGCTGCAGGGTTGAGAGAGTGCTGTTAACCCTTTGTGGATAATATAGAATCAATTATATGTCCTGGTTGTCTAGTTATAGAGAACAATTATTTCATTTGCTGCCCATAGCAACAAGTCATCTGTGTATCAGGGACTTTACTCCTCAGCGGTTTTTTAAAAAGGTCTAATAAATTGTGAATTTTACACTGACAGATACTTGAACATAAATTCACAAATCTGATGTATATATAAATAAATGTATACTATTATTGTGCCTCTCTGATAGTCAGATCAACTATTCCAATTGTTTCACATAATATTAGGCCAACCACACCAATAGGCTAACTTTGCGTGTCCAGTGCTTTCTTTCCAACGCTGGTCTTTGTAACAGGAAGCTCCTGCACAGTGGCAACATTTCACATTGGATTCATGCACAGATCTGAAAGAATACACAATGCACATCAAGATTTAGGTTTAAGTAGGAATATATATGTGTGTGTGTATACATGCTTTAGACAAAATTTGGTTATCCTGGCTTCAGCTTTAAGTACAATATTTCTTAGAGTTCATGTAGATCAGGTGACAGGCCATGCCAATGACAGCAGTAGACACACCGTAGCTGAACGCTGTCACGGCAAATAAGTCAGACAGGTTTGAAAACATTCTTCAGGAATTTCCTCCTGATAAGACAACATTGGGAGATTTCTGTATATGCTCATTTCTCATTTTCCCTGTTCCATCCGTGAATGTTTATGTTATGGTTAGCCAATAGACATCCCTTCCTGTATTCTGCTCACGCCTGCACAAAGTTATTATGTCTGGCTTTAGTTGTGTATAGTGTATGTGTCTTTCTTTTTCTACCAACTAGCTTTTATCTTTCATGCAATGATATTGCTGTGTGTAATGGGGCCGCATAGCAAAACTATGTGTCGCTATACTTCTAACCCCTGACGCTAAGGAAATTCCTGACACGGAATACAAATTATCTTTATTACATTTCCCCAAACTATTCATACAATAATTTCACCCATATATGATTTCCAAATGCTTTTGCTACCAGCATAAATCGCAGTGTGTCCACATGATTCTGGGCCATCTAAACTTTTTCGCCCCACAGCAGTCACATGATCTGCTAAGACCAATCTCCTCCCCGATACTGTTGTAAAACAAAGTGGAATGAATAAAAGTTAAAAACTGTTTCCACAAAGTTTTCCCATGATGACCCTTGACATGTATAGAAATCATGGGATGTGGGTTCTACCTGCTGCCACCACAAGTTTTGTATTGTTACCTTCACTTGTATAAAACACATTGAGGGGAATTCATCAACACTAGAGTAGACAAAAACTGGCACAGCTGTGCATGGCAACCAATTAGCTTCTCTCTTTCAATGTAAAATTTTAACTGAACAAAACTGAAAAGAGAAGCTGATTGTTTGCCATTGGCAACTTCTGCAGATTCTGTCTGCTCCAGTTTTGATAAATTCCCCCAGTGTCCTCTTGTGTAATCATATATCCAATCTTTACTGTGTTTGCTGTTTATTTTCATTTTGTGGAGCCGTAAACATTTTACAAAACAACTGGTGGAAGTTATGTCATAACACTGTTACCAGATAACTTGGCTTGGACAACAAAGGTGGTGGAAATGCACCATTACATAGTTAGTCAGGTTGAAGAAAGACACGTACATCAAATTCAACCTATATGAAAAAAAAGAAAAGCCTAAACAATTACCCCCTGCTGATCCAGAGGAAGGCAAAAAAAACCTCTATAAAGCAGGGTTCAATTTGCTCCAACAGGGGAAAAAATATCTTCCTGATCCCATAAGGCAATCGGATATTTCCTGGATCAACTATCTCTGATGTTTAGTATTCCTTAATATCTTAATATCCAGTAATATTGTATTTAGGAATACATCCAGATTTTTTTTTTAAACAAATAACTGAGCTAGCTAGAACCAACTCCTGAGGGAGTCTATTCCACATTTTCACAGCTCTAACTGTGAAGAATCCTTTCCATATGCAAAGGTTAAACCTCTTTTCCTCCAGATGCAAGGAGTGCCCCCTTGTCCTTTGCAGTGATCCTAAAGTAATTCATTTGGCACCCAGCAACCATTAAAAATATGATCACATGTCTAGAATATCCCCCACTTCTCTCCATCTCCAAATGATACTAATAACAACATTTTGTATTACAGCTTAAGGGATGTGCTGGTTCCCCTTCTTGATGATAAAGGTGTTTCCTTCATGGAACTGGAGAATGACTTTCCCGAACAAATTGCACTTGCCCATTGCATTGAAGCTTGGAAGGTTGCTGCCAATAAGAAGTGGAATCGCATTTAATGACTTGGAATGGAAAATAGTGGCTGCAAAGTCTATGTGCTGCATTGTGAGACCTTATATTGCTGCTGCTAACTCAGGCTGTTTTGTATTTTTTTACTTTTTATATTTTGATGTATATGCAAAGGATGCATAATAGAATATATAGTCATAATTGTATGTGACTTATTAGGAAAAAAAGAAGTAATGACCAACAACCTTAAATTGGTACAATATAGATTTCTGCATATTTTGTATCTGAACAACCCTAAACCATGTCTACAACTTAGAGGTTAGTGAAGGATGGAAGTTACCATTGCCTGTCCAAGGCAAGTGATGCAGCTATATAGCTGTATGAGCAGAGCCCAGGTTTCTACCTCTAATAGTGTTAGAATAACTCAGGTATAAAGATTTACTATGCTTACCAATCATAGACCAGAAAAATGACCACAGTCCGCACACTTCAACTTTTGTACTTTTCACTGGTTTAGGGAACCTATCGATATGGAATAATGTACTTATAAAATTAAGCCATGGGAAATTATCATTCATAGATAAAGAAGGTTGTTGCCAGAACCTTTTTAGCGAATATCATTCCTAAGCGCTATAGCCGGGTTTGCATAAAATATCTTTTTTATTTTTGTTAAAGGTAACATTTTAGTGTTTTACTGTTGTTCTTTCATAAAGGGCAATGCATTTCCTGGGAAAGGGTGAACCCGTGTACCCACCAGTAGTGTCAGTTGATTTATAATTGATATAGCAAGAAGGTCCATTAAACGGCTATAGGCGTATATATTTTAAACATTCCCATGTTACATGTTTTCATTCACAAAACATACCTTTGAATAAAAGAAAAAAACAATGCTGCTTATTTTTTTTATTGCTTTTTCTTTGCTGAAAAATCTTAGATATCTTTCCCTATGTAATGACATTAAAAACGTCATATCCGTCACTGGTCAAAAACCGTACACACCATATTTTGGAAGCATTTCTAGTTCACCTTATCGCGTAGAGTGATAGTGCTTTGGGCTGCGCCCACCCATCTTAGCACCCTCCCATGGGGCATGGTAACCGGACCGCTGGACCCAGGGTGGGCCCCTAGCACCATAGGGAAAAATCTTAGATTTCTTTCCCTATGTAATGGCATTACATAGGGAAAGATATCTAAGATTTTTCAGCAAAGAAAAAGCAATAAAAAAATAAGCAGCATTGTTGTTTTCTTTTTTCAAAGGTATGTTTTTTGAATGAAAACATGTAACAGATATAAAGTAAGTGGTATCCCAATATGCCTGCAAAAGTGGAAATACACTTTAATAACCGACCAGGAATTATTTTAAGCTGACCTGTTTCAACTTGCTGCAGTTTATTGTACCAGTCCCCAACGTGCTGCAGGTTATTGTTCCAGTCCCATTGCCATTGCTTTCTGCACATTAAAATAAATCTCAATAAATATACATACATTTCCTGTTCAGTGGTACATGTGCACGGTGGCTACAGATACTTTATGTAATTGAGCTTGATAGCATTATATGGCATTTGCCATATGTAAGGTTTACACATGTAGCGTATACATAGCTATGCATAAAAGGATTTACATTTCACAATGCTAGGTTTACCTTTTCTGTAATATTGTTGCTCCATTAAACCACTCCAGCAGGCTACCTAAGCTGAGATCATGCCGGTGGTACTTAGATGTTCATAACACAAATAGTTACATTTGCTTACTTTACTTTTACCATAATTGCTTTCATTTGCCAATGAAACATGTATGATTCCAATTATTCACAATAAATGCAAAGATCATTGTTATGTTGTGTTATCTTTTTTCATTTACAGAGCAGACAACAAAAGTGTTATTAAAGTGGAATTATGGAAAAATAAAACATACGGCATACATAGTGTTAAGACAGGAGTTTTCATTTTCCTGAGTCACCCCTGTAACAGTTTTATTACCTGTTAATCCTGCCAATAGATCTGTTATTTTACTACTAAACAGGACACAGTGTGCAGTAAAAGTGGCAGGGATTGGGAGGAGCCATATAACAGTTGCAGGGGTGTTTTCAATGCTCACCTTGTATTAATAAAGCAGTTCATATATATATATATATATACATATATGTGAACCAGTCACATGGAAAAGAATGAGATTTCTACTTGGAATGCATTTTCATGAAATAAGCCCTCTAACGTTCTTCCAATCGAAGAAAAATCTTGTTACTGTAAAGGTGCCCATACACTGCACGATTCTCGTATGAGAATCGCGGGAAATCCCGCGATTGTACGAGAATCGTGCAGTGTATGGAAGGCGTGCGACCGTTTCTAATGTACGGTCACACGTCTTTTGTATATCAAGCATGTTGGAAAACCAGCCGAGAATCATACGATTTTCGGCTTTTTTTTTTTTTTTAAATCTATGTTTATTAAACAAAATAATAGACAGACACTTGCATGTATCACAAAAGAACAAGGACTGCACGCAGGCAGTCAACTGATTCACGTTGGTATTGATTGAGCATACATGACAATAGAGTTAGTGAATTCACAAACAAGTATTACTGGGACTCAGCGACACATCAATATAAATCGGTCCTGGTGAAAAAACGTCATATCCGTCACTGGTCAAAAACCGTACACACCATATTTTGAAAGCATTTCTAGTTCACCTTATCGAGTGATAGTGCTTTGGGCTGCGCCCACCCATCTTAGCACCCTCCCATGGGGCATGGTAACCGGACCACTGGACCCAGGGTGGGCCCCTAGCACCGTAACATTTCAACTATATAGACATATGCAATCTGAGTGTACGGTGAATATGGCGAGAGCCCCGAGGGGCAAAGCAGGAAAGAAAAAGAGGAGAGGAGGTTGAAAAGCAGTAATCAGATTGGGGCAGGGAGGACATTGAGAGGAGAGAGGAACGAGGATGAGAGGGGCCTGCCAATTACTGGTCCTGACTCCTAGCAACGGTCAGCTGTCAGTTTCCTCGAACATGTCTGTAGCACTAGCAGAAGTCCAGGGCACAGGTCCACCGACCCAAGGGTATCCCCGAGATTTAACTCTCCGGGCTCATGATCTGCAGGTAGGGGCCAGTGGCGATGTAGTGTGTCCACGCTCTCCAAGTGGTCCGGAACTTCTCTTCTGAGTTATGGACGGTGGACGTGAGATCCTCCATAAGGTAGATCTCATTGACCTTTGTAAACCAAATACGCAGTGATGGGGCCATATTCGAACTCCAGAGCGCTGGGACGCAGGCTTTCGCTGCATTTAGTAGATGCACCGACAGGGAAGCTTTGTATTGGCGACGTGTTAGTTTGGTCATGTGCAAGAGGAACACCGCCGGGTTCAGCTCCAAACTCGGCGACACCAGTGTATTGATGATGTCTCCCACCTCCTCCCAGAATCTCTTCAGCAGGGGGCAGCTCCAGAAAATATGGAGCATAGTACCTCCAGTCGCGCCGCATCTCCAGCAGACATCCGGTATGGCTGGGTTCATTTTGTGGAGAACGTGTGGAACCCTGTACCATCGGGACAGAACCTTGTATCCCTGCTCCTGGAATTTGTTGGCGGTGGAGCACCTAGTGGCGAAATGTACCATACTGTCTTTCTGTTCAGGGGAGAATGTGACGCCCAGCTCCGTCTCCCACCTCCGTAGGTACTAAGGGGAATACTCTTCTGGGGGAGCGACTAGTAATTTATAGAGTAGAGACAGAGCGTGGCGCACCGGCTCCCCTTGTCCGCAGATGTCTTCAAATGGAGTCAGGGGCCTGTCCAGTCGAAGGGAGGCAGGAATAGCCAGGAGAAAGTGCCTAAGCTGGAAGGAGGTCCAGACGTCCAGAGGAGGGTCTAGCAATGCCTGGAGCTCAGGCACCGGCATCCAGGAGCCCCCCGCCCGGAAGTCCCGGACGCAAAACTTGTTGAGGCCCACCAGGCTACGTAAGCGTCTATTTTCCAGGCCCACCGGAAAATCCCGATTCCCCCGATCACTGGGGTGAGCGGGGAAGGGAACGGGGAGAGTCGGGATGACCTGAAGAGGAATCGAACGATCCCGAGCGTGGCCCCAATTGTGGGGTGTTGAGAGCACACTGCCGGTATAGCGCTAGACAGCCACGGGAGTCCCGTCAGCGGCACCGGAGAAGCCTGCACCTCCATGCGCACCCACTGTTTGTGGGCTGAGTGGCAACACCAATCGATTACTCTATTGAGGTGCACAGCTCGATAATAGAGGGCCACGTCAGGTAGTCCAATCCCACCTGAGGCTTTTGGCATAATTAGGAGACGTCTACTTATTCTGGGTGCCCCATTTGCCCAAATGTATGTCAGGAACAGCCTGCGAAGGCGGGCAAAGAACGCTGGCGGGAGACAAATAGACAGCGCTTGCATTATGTACAGAATCCTGGGAAGTATGGTCATTTTGAGCGTGGTACAGCGACCAAACCAAGTGACCGTGAGAGCCTGCCATTTCATCAGGTCTTGTTAAATCTGGAGCAGGAGTGGAATATAGTTGGCGTCATATAATGATTTCAGATCAGGGGTGAGAAAAGTGCCCAGGTAGGGCAAAGAACGTTCCTCCCATCGGAATGGAAACTGGGCCTGGATAAAGCCCAGTTCCGCCGGAGGTAGAGTGATGTTTAAAGCTGCTGACTTAGACCAATTAATGGCCAGATTTGAGAGAGCTCCATATTCCCTAAATTCCCGCATAAGTTCCGGGAGGGAAGAGCGTGGCTGGGAGACGAAGAACAGGAGGTCGTCAGCGTACGCTGCGACCTTATGATCCACCGAGTGGAGCCGGTGTCCGGCTATTTGACCATTAAGTCTAACATGACAGAGAAAAGGTTCTAACGCCAGGATGTACATCAATGGGGACAAGGGGCAGCCCTGTCGCGTTCCGTTCGTGAGAGGGAAATACGGAGATCTGGTCTCATTGACCCGTATCGCCTCTGTGGGACGAGAGTAGAGGGCAAGTAGCCATTTCAACATATTCGGGCCAAGTCCGATATGTTGAAGGGTGGACCTTAAAAACGCCCAATCCACCCTGTCGAACGCCTTTTCGGCGTCTGTGGAGATGATCATCAGCGGGGAGGAGGTAGATCGCGCTCCATGTATGATATTGAGC